CGAGGTCACCGCACGGCCTGTCACCGCACCGTTTCGGGACTCGAAAGGCGCCACGTCTGGCCGCGCTCTGCGCGGCGTTCTGCGGCCTGCAGCCTCGAGCTCTGGCGCTTCGGGCAGAACGCGACTGGCACGGGCTCGGAGAGGGGCCATGGCAAAGGGTCGAAGGTCGAGGGTCGAAGATCGCGGGATCGAGGGATCGAGGATCGAGGATGGAGGTCGAGGATCGAGGGATCGAGGGATCGAGGATCGAGGATGGAGGTCGAGGATCCAGGATCGAGGATCTGGTCGAGGGGCGAGGATCGGGGGATCGAGGATCGGGGGCCTCTGCGGCGCTTGGGGGGGGGGGGGGGGGGGGAAGGGGGTGGCCCGTGCCACGCCCCCGCCCGCCGCTCGACTGCCTCGAGAGCTCCTCGGCGGGCCCGGCCCGCTTTTTTTTTTGTTGGCCCGGGGGGAGGAGAAGCGGCACCACCACTGCCAGGGGGGGGCCCTGCAGCGAGGAGGTCCACGAGGCCTCTCCAGGCTGGGAGTATGAGGGGATGTCTCGAGCGAGACATCCCCTGTACAGCAGGCGCCGGGGGCGTCCCAGACAGCAATGGGCAACTTCATCATATAATCAGGCATGGTTGCATGTCTTCTGTTTCTCTTTGTACAAGTATGCTGATTCGTTTTTTGTTTCGCCTACGCGTCTGCAAGGGCTGCAAGGCCGCAGTCAGTCAGTCGAGCGAGAGGGGGGGGGACCTCACCACCATCGAAGAAAGAAAACGGCATGAACATCCAACTGCCGACGGCCCGCGCGGATTTCTTGGATCCGCGTTGCGGCTCCCCTGGCGGCACCTCTGGCGCCGCACCCGGCGCGCTCTGCGCGCCAGGGAGGGGGGCCTGGCGCAGATCCAAGACATCCACGCGGACCGTCGACAGTTTATGTTCATGGTGTTTTTCCTGCGCTTAGGTCGGGCATGTCCTCCTACGGGCGGATTTTGGACGAAAAAGTAGCAGATTCAAAACATGTGATACATGCTCACAAATATACTATTCTTTACTATTGTTGATTATTCCTCCTGCAGAAGGACATGCCCGATTTTTTCCTACACCAGGGAGGCCCCCTCCCCTGGCTCCTCCCGCTGGTGGTCCCTGGTGGTGGTGGTGTCGCTCTTCCTGGTTCCTATGTTTTCCCCAGCCCTGGCCATACTCACTGTTGGCTTTCAGTCGGGCGTGCCCCTCTACGGGAGGAATATGCAAAACTAGTACAGAAATAGTATGTGGAGGATTTGCCACGCATGTTTGGGCTAGGTTTGATAATTGTTTGGTATTCCTAAATTTCCTTCAAGATCCGCCTGCAGGGGAACACGCCCGACCCAATGTTGGCTGTCCTGGCCCTCTCCTCCCTTGGCTGGGGCCGCCGTCCCTGCATCGCCTTCCATCCTCGTTCGCTTCCCCTTCGCATCACCTCTGACCGAGCACCTGCGTACATCCTCCTCCCCCCCTTTCTCGAGGGACAGAGAGGCAAAGCGAGAGAGAGAGAGAGAGAGACTGTATCGTTTGGCCTTCGGCCCATCCCGCCGCCGTGCTTGTGCTGTGGATCTTCGTTGGGATCTCGTGGGAGGCTTCTTGGGGACCTCTTGGAGGCAGTTTGGACGCCTCTTGGGGGCCGTCTGGGGGCCTCTTGGGGCCTCTTTGGGACCTTTTGGGGGGCCTCTTGGGGCCTCGGATTTTCGGTTCGTGTTCCCTTTGGGGGGCCCCTTTCGGAGCCGTCTTGGGGCCCTCTTGGACCGTTTTGGACGCCTCTTTGGAAGTCTTGGGGCCCTCCTGGGCCGTTTTGGGGCCCTCTTGGAAGCCTCCTGGGCCGTCTTGAGGCTCTTGGGGGCCTCTAGGACCGTCTGGGAGCGTCGGGAAGCTGAAAAAGCGAGAACGCCAAAATATTTGCAACGTCGATGGAAAATCAAATATTTTGACATCTTGGAGCCCTCTTGGGAGGCCTCTTGGAGGCCTCTTTGGGCGTCTTGGAGGCCTTTTGGGCCGTCTGGGGGCCACCTTGAGCGCCTTGGAGCTTTCGTTCGGCGACTCGGGGCCTCCTTGGACCGTCTTGGGGGTTTCTTGGGGCCCGCTTGGCCCGTCTTGGGGTCCTCCTGGGCCAGAAAAATTCACGCGAGCACACTCGGGGGGAGCCCAGGAGGGCCGTGACGAGCCCCCCAGGAGATTTGGGCCGAGGGGCTCTGAACCCTTCAAGGACTGCTCGGGAACGAGGGCTGAGGCTAAGAACGGGTGGTGAGAGGACCTGAGGGCACGACAGCCTCGTACTCGACCACGTTCTTTACCTTTCCTTTTTGCTGCGCCTGCTGCTCGAGCGACAGGATGACAGCATCATTGAGGAGTCCTTCTCGCTCAGGGGGGTGCTCTTCGACGGTGAAGAGCGCTTCGTGGATGACAGGAGCTAGGCCGAACACGGCATTGTTGGGCCCCCCTCCCTGCTTGTGTTCTCCTGGGCCGCGGCCGAAAAGCGTAGGCCAGATCCTGGAGGCTTCATTGTATAGGTGACCACGGCCAGGTATAATCAAACCAGGCCCCCAGCATAGGTGTCGACGTAAGTGTCGATCTCGAGTGACATGGCAACCACAACAGACGAGTACAACATGCAGAAACTCCTCCCGGGTCGGCTCTGCCCGGAAGCGCCCGACCATGAGGTGCCGGGAGGCGCCGCACGCCCTCCTCGTCCTGGGTCACCAGGCCCTCGGCGTGTAGCCAACTCGAGTGTCGGCTGGGGCGACCACGACGAGCAAATCCAGCGCGTAGAACTCGGGACCCTTGGACAAGTGAACGCGCGTGCCCAGCAACCTTCACGATGTTTTACTTCGTCACCGAAGCGTAGCGGAAGCCAGGCAGCTGCACCCACTGGCTGCAGGACGCACGCCCACACGCGCCTTCCTCGCCCGCGGGCCGCCGCGCTGAGCGGGTCAGGCGGCATGCCGGCCACAGGCTCCGCTCCCTGGCAATGCAGCATGCGTGAGTTTCGTGTGAAGCGCGTTGGCGGTGTCAGAGGTGATCGCCAAGGGAGGCCGTGCCGTGCACCAGCGCCTGCGGCGAGCCTACAAGGGTAGCATCGATGTTTGCATGGTGGGGCGGTCGCCCCGCTGCGGTGTTTCTGTCACGCAAGCACATACAACATGGGCCTGTGGCCCCAAGGGTGCATTCCCCGCGCCGGTGAAGTCCGCGGAGCCGATGGTGCTGTCCACGAAGGGCGCCCCCCGCAGGGGCTTTTCTTTTTGCTTCTGCCGCATCCTTTTCCTTGGCCACCTTAGCAGGTATCTGGGACGTCGTTCTCGGCGTCGTACCGCTCACTCATGTTGCCGCCATGGTCGTCTAGCCCAGGTGTCGTCGTTCTCTTGGTTGTACGATTCGCCATCTGCTGTTGCCGTCTACCCGTAGTCTGCGTCGTGCCCCCCTTCGTATGGATGTTATTCGGTGTCGGCCTCATGCCGATCGTCGCCATCTTCGGGTGTGTCTTTCTGTCCGTATCATGTCCAATCATCATGTTGTCCAGCTTGTTCTTGCCTGCCTAACCGAATCGTGGGACCAAGCGGCACTCGATACTGTGAGGTATCATTGTATGTGCAACTTTAGGTCGTCTATGCGTTTGTCCGGGAGGCCGTTGCTCCGATGCTCTTCACCAAGGCGTAACTCCGGCCCGTGTCATCAATGATCAGGCCTCCTTCCTCGCGCGCGTCCTCGAGGCAAGCCCGAACGAGTAGATCCTGGTGAGGAAGTCCAGATGATGGCCTCGTCTGCAATTGAATAAGCAAACTAACACCACGCCTGAACTGTTTTGGTCATGCAATTCGTATACTGGTTTCTGCTGGTTGAGGAATATCTGGATACCTGCCTGCTCCTCTGGGACTCCCGATGCCGCCGACTGGAGGTAATGAAATGGCTTCGTCACCTCGATAGTGCATGCCATCTCATAAATGTGTGAACGACATGGCCGCCATGAAAAGAGTTCCCTGAAGCCGTGATACGATGAATGACCCAATCTTTTGATATCGCTTTTCTTCCGTAATCCGCCGCTAGAGTTTCGGTTTCTCCATGTATCTCCGAAGCGTATGGCCTTTGATGTGCGGCCGCCATCCTGGCGGCCCGAACTATGTGAACTCCTAGGGATTAAGATTGCCTTGCTGTCCGCCTTGATGTTGCTGCTGGTGCGCCATGCTGGCGCTGTGATCAATGTGAAGAACTGCTGCGTTGATCTGGCGTGAACACCTGTGTCTCGTACTGGTGGTGCTGGAAGCTGTCGTGGCCGTGCTCGCACCCGTCGCTGCTGCTGGTGATCGGCGGGCAGCCGCCGTTGTAGAACTCGCAGACGATGCTCTTGAATCGCTCACCTGCGGAGGCGCTGGCGCGCGACGTTGGGCGCGACGAGTGTGGGGCCGGCGGGCTGGGGGCCCGCAGAGCCGAAGAGTTCGGCTGCCAAAGCGGGCGTTCCAGCGCGTGAGCCCGAACGTTCACCACGGGCATCAAGAAATCCAGCAGCATAAAGAGTTGGGCGAGGAGCCCCAGTCTGGCGCAGCGACGCAGGGAGCCTCCGGATGCCTCCGAACCAGGCCCTGCCTGCAGTTGCACGCAGCCCATAACCTCACTCCTCCCCCACTTCTGCCTCCTCCTCCTCCTCCTCCTCCTCCCCCTCCCCCTTCCCTCCCCTCCTCCTCCTCCTCCTCCTCCCTCCTCCTCCTCCTCCTCCTCCTCCTCGTCCTCGTCCTCCCTCCTCCTCCTCCTCCTCCTCCTCCTCTCCTCCTCCTCCTCCTCCTCTTCTTCTCCTCCTCCACCTCCTCCTTCTCGTCCTCCTCCTCCTCCTCCTCCTCCTCCCTCCTCCTCCTCCTCCTCCTCCTCCTCCTCCTCCCTCCTCCTCCCCCTCCCCCTCCCCCTCCTCCTCCCTCCTCCTCCCCCTCCTCCTCCCCCTCCCCCTCCCCCTCCCCCTCCCCCTCCCCTCCCTCCCCCTCCCCCCCCTCCTCAGCTGCTCCGTCCTGGCCCTGGCCGCTCGCCGCTGCGGCTCGCAGCGGCATGCCGCGATGGTGGTGCCGCCTTGCGGGCCGTGCGGCCCAGCGACGGAGCCGCGGCGGCCGCGGGCCCAGCTCGGCCCACCGTGCCGCGGCGGGGGGAGGCACCGTCGCCGGAGGCGTCCAAGAGCGGGGTGAGGGCCTCTGTCGCAAACTGGAGCATACACATTACCAGTGGCGGGTTGTTTCTCAATCCCACGACTCTTGAAGGGTCGGGGACGACGTCGTGGTGGTGTGGTGTATACTTTTCCCCCGTGTTCCGGGGGAAGCAACGAAACATGTATACACCAGGATCCCGTATACACCAGAATCCGCGTTCCTGTGCGAATTTCAGCGCATGGTCGGGAAAAGCGTCGGTGCATAGAGTTCGTTTCCCTACTCTCAGGGGTAACGATACGGGGGGGTAGGCATAGGGGGGATGCATCGACCCCGAATCGCCCATTGGTCGCATGTAGGGGTTTGATAGCCCCAACCCGTCCAGGAAGGTGCGGATTCACTATCGGGGGCCTATCGCCGATCTATCGTCGATGCACCGCCGATTCCAGGTCGACGCATCCCCCCCTATGCCAGTCCCCCCATATCGGAAAGAGCTTGTTCTACCGCTGCTGGCGGAAAACCGGGGGGGGTCACTACCGGTTCGAACCCCACCCCCCCCCCCCCCCCCCTCCGGAAAACCAGGGGGGGTCACTACCGGTTCGAACCCCTCCCCCCCCCCCCCCCCCCCTGCTCATCATGAAAAGGGGGGGGGGTCACTACCGGTTCGAACCCCCCCCCCCCTCCGGATCGAAAACCGGGGGGGGTCACTACCGGTTCGAACCCCCCCCCCTCGAAAACCGAGTGGGGGTGCGGACAGTGGTGGGGACGGTGTTGGTGGGGACAGTGGTGAGGGGATAGCGGGACAGTGGTGGGGACAGTGGGACAGTGGGACAGTGGTGGGGACGGTAGTGGTGGGGACAGTGGTGGGGACAATGGTGGGAACAGGGGGGGACAGTGGACAGTGGTGGTGACGGTGGTGGTGGGGACAGTGGTGTGGGGACAATGGGAATGAGGTGGAAACAGTGGGACAGTGGAGGGTACAATGGTGGTGGGGACAGTGGTGAAGGCGGTGGCGAGGACGGCGGTGGGACAATGGGACAGAGGTACAGTGGGGACAGTGGTGGGGACAGTGGGGACAGTGGTGGGAACAGTGGGACAGCTCAGTGGGACAGCGGAGGAGTCAGTGGGACAGTGGGGACAGTGGGGATAGTCGGGCAGTGGTTGGGGCCGTGGAGACAGTGGGGAGAGTGGAACCGTGGTGGGAACAGTTCTGGGGACAGCGGGGACAGTGCGACAGTGGTGGGGCCACTGGTGGGGACAGTAGGGGCGGTGGTGGAACCAGTGGGGACAGCGGTGGTGAGGACAGTGGTGCTGGGAACACCAGTGGGGGATGTGATGCGGACGGTGGTGGGGACCGGGAGTCGTTTGCTGGCGGTGAGTAGGGGGGGGAGTGGGGGGGGGGGGGGGGTTCGAACCGGTAGTGACCCTCCCCGGTTTTCCGGATCCGGAGGTAGGGGGGGGGGGGGGGAGGGGGGGAGGGTTCGAACCGGTAGTGACCCCCCCGGTTTCGAGCGGGAGGGGGGGGGGGGGGGGGGGGGGGGAGGGGTTAGTTAGGGGGGTGTTTTTGCCGGGGAGGGGGGGGGGGGAGGGGGGGGGAGGGGTTCCAGCAGGGGGGGGGGGATTTTCGGAGGGGGGGGGGGGGGCGACCCCCGGGTTCCGGAGGAAAAGGTTGGCAATTTTCCACAGTAAAGCGGCGGTGGATCACGCTCTCTCCCATATCGTTGCCCCCCAACCTGGGGTGTGTGAGTACAGTGGAGACCCATGCCAAGAAGCACTCTGCTTGATCCCAGGGTGCACTGGGCTTCTTGGGCTCCGAAGGTTCTGTCGCCATGGAGGGCGTGGCGTCCCCGTACCGAAAAATCCAGGGACGCCCTGGGGTCTCAGTTTTGGGTTTCTTGCGGGAGGTTTCTTTTGGACTGGCCTCCCTTGTGTCATGGCCCGGGCCATCATATCTATCCTAGATATTATGACCCCCTCTTCATCTCTCAATCTGTCCCGCGTGCTCCTCTCCTCGTCCGCGCACATGCCTCAGGCCGTGATTCGCGGACCCCCCCCCCCTCTTGGACGCCGCCATCTGGGACGCCCCCGGTGCTGTGAGGGGAGGGGGGAGGGGCTCGGAGCATCGCGTCGGGCGAGGGAGGGGGGAACGAGAGCGGTTCGAGGCTCGAGGTCTCCAGCCTCTTTGTCGGTCCTCGGCGATCCTCCGGCCTCGGCTCGGGGTGCTCTCCAGCAGCTGCGCCTCGCCGAGAGCGTTCCAAAGGGCATCCGCGTCGTCTCGAACGCCCGCCGGGGCCTCGAGGTATGAGCCCACAGAAGCCAGGAGGCGACGAGGATCGTTCGGGTCGGTCGAAGGGGGGGTGGGATTGGGAAAGGGAGGGGGGCGACATTGGCCGCACGCAGCTTGCCTCAGCTCCGACACCAGGCCCTTTCCTTGATGCATGGCTGCCCCCTTCGCCGGGAGGCGTCGCAAAGTCAGCAGCATGCAGCTGATTCCCTACCCCTCCTCTGCTATGCCCCTCGTTCGTCGGCTCGGATTGGGAGGGGCATGGATGGGGAGGGGGAGCGCGAAGCTGGGATTCATACGTGTCCACCGAGGTGGTGCATGATGATTGCATTTGGGCCCCGTGTGCCCCTATTGTGCAAGTATGAACATATATGCATAGACATACATGCATACACACACATACATACCTACCTACCTACCTATCTACCTACCTACCTACCTACCTATCTACCTACCTGCCTACATACCTACCTACCTACCTACCTATCTACCTACCTACCTACCTATCTACCGACCTGCCTACATACATACATACATACATACATACCTACCTACATGCATGCATGCATGCATGCATACATACATACATACATACATACATACACACATACACACATACATACATAAACACACACATACATACATACATACAGACAGACAGACAGACAGACAGACAGACAGACAGACAGACAGACAGGCAGGCAGGCAGACAGACAGACAGACAGACATACATGTGTTCATACATGCATACATGCATACATGCATGCATGCGCACTTACATGCATACATACATGCATACACACATGCATGCAAACATACATGTAGGCATCCATCCATACATGCCCACATGCATGTGTGCATACATATATACATGCATGCATACGTACATACGTACATGCATGCATGCATTCATACATACATACACATTCCGTCTTCTATACTTGAATCATCTGTGACCTTGCGACCCCCCCCCTCCCTAAATGGGACCCCTCCGGATCCTTGGCCCTGGGGGCACCCTGGACGCCCTTGCAGACGGTCCCCTGTGCTTTCCGGGGCTCCTGGAGCCCCTGCTGGGCCTAGGCAACGGGCCCAAATCGGTCAGGAGGGCGGCCGGACGGCCCCGCGAGAGCCCAAAGAGGCCCCAGACACCCACCAGACTCCAGAAGACGACTCAAAGATGACCTCCAAGAGGCATTCGAGAGGCAAAAGATATAGATTCCTACGGCTTGTTTGCATGATTTTGGGAATGCTCAGTTCTTCGGTCTTCCGGGCGTCCGAGACTGCCCAGGAGGCCAGAGCATCGCCCCAAATTCAACCAAGAGGTCTTCCAGACAGTCCAAGAGGAGCCCCAAGATGACTCAACAGGGCCCAAAGATGGCCCGAAGAGAGCCCCTGAACGGCCCAAAAATAAGCATGTTGTGGCGTTGGCGCCAGCCACAAAGTTGCTGTCGCATATGCGCTGGCGGCATCTTTTATTGAGCCAGTCGTTCCCGCCTGGGCGCCGGCCACATCTCTGATGACAAATATTGCTGCCTCCTAGGCGCTGGCTACGTCCTTCATTGAGCATGTCATTCTCTTGGAGGCGCTGGCCGCATCTGATTAAAAATTGCGTTTTCGCATAGGCGCCTGTCGCGCGCACAATTGCGATTGTGGTTTTCGCCTCAGCGCGGGCCGCGGTCTCGATTCGGACTGCTGGTCTCGCCTGGCGCTGGTCGAAAAATGATAGCGGATGATCTTATCACCTCTGCCGCTTCGGCGCTGGCCGCACCCTGAAATGGGAATGCCGTTCCCATCTTGATTGTAGACTGTACCACCGCTGGGAAAACCGGCACATCTTGATTGCGAACACCGTTCTCGCCACAGGGGAAGACGCAGCCTTACAAGCCTGCGGGCTGCGCAAGCTTCTGGATCGCGGCACCATCTTTGGCCACTTCTGTTCCAAGGTGCAGCTTTGGCTTCATCGCGTTGTGCTACAAGTTATCGTAGTGCTATTCGCATTGGTGCTGCTGGTGCTGCTGGTAGTTCTGTGCATGATGCTGCTGCTTTCCGTCGTGCGTGTCGCAGTTGTACTGCTTCCAGGGCTCAGCTCCTCACGCTGGTACTCCTCGTTGTGCTTGTGCTGGTGCACGTAACTAGTGCTGCTGTTTCTCGTTGGGCTTGTCGTAGTGATGCTGCTGGTTGCGCTGGTAGTGCTGCTCGTTGTCATGCGGCTTCCCTTCGTGCTGGTCAAATTGGCGCTGCTGCTTCGATTAGTGCTGCTGCCTCTGGTGATGCTCGTCACATTGGTACTGCTCGTTGCGCTTTTGCTGGTGCGCTCAGTGTCGCTGTGCCCACTTTTACCGGTCACAGTTGGGGTTGTGGTGCTGGTGGTAGTGCTGCGCGAGGTGCTGCTGGTTCCCGTCCTGCTATTCACACTTGTGTTGCTTGTGGCGGTCGTGCTGCTGCGCTTGGTGCTGCTGTTTCCGTCCTGCTGGTCACAGTAGTCTTGCTGGTTACGCTTGTGTTGCTGGTTACAGTTGTGCTGGTCGCAATGGTGCCGATAGTTGCGCTGATGCTGGTGGCGCAAGTTGTTCTGCACGTAGTGTTGTCGCGCTGGTACTGCTGCGCGTGGTGATGTTACTTGCTGTCGAGACGGTCACAGAGGGGCTACCAGTGGCGTAGTGCTGGTCATATTATTGCACTGCTACTGGTGGCGCTCGCGGTTCTGCTGGTGGTACTGCTGGTTGCTGCTGGTGGCAGTGGTGTTGCTGCGCGTAGTGGTGCTAGTATCTGTCGCGCTACTCGCAGAGGCAGTGCTGGTGACGCTGGTGCTGCTGCGAGTGTTGTTGGTGTTTCCTGTCGTACTGGTCGCAGTGAGGTGAGGTCAGACGCGGGCCCCCCTCTCTTCAAAACGAGGACACAACGCCACAGGATGGTTGTGAACAACAAATCCTTGCGCGAAGGAAAGGCCCTCATCCTCCGACCCATGTTTTCCCTCTCCGCGCCCTCGCCTGCGATCGAAAAAACTTTGGTTGGTGTTTTTTTCCCCAACCAACCTGTGTTGTTGGTCCTCGCTTTGAAGAAACGGTCCCCGCGTCTCCTCCTCCTCCTCCTCCTCCCGTGCCCCTCCTCTCATCATCATCATCATCATCATCATCATCATCATCATCATCATCATCATCATCATCATCATCATCATCATCAGCATCAGCATTAGCATTAGCATTAGCATCAGCATCAGCATCAGCATCATCATCATCAGCATCAGCATCAGCATCATCATCATCAGCATCAGCATCAGCATCAGCATCATCATCATCATCATCATCACCATCATCATCATCGTCATCATCGTCGTCATCATCATCAACATCAGCATCATCAACGACACCGACGAAGCTTACGCGAGAGCCGTGCGGAGGGAGGTTAAGAGGCTCAAGGCGGAGAACTTTTTGTGCGACCTCGACGTTTCTGCGTTCCGGAGGTTGCATTCGTACGCTGGCCATGTCGCTCGGAGAATTGTGACGCACCCCGAGTCCATCTTATCACAAGTATTGCAGTGGAACAGATACCAGCATGCCATGCGTTCGACGCCAGAGGGACGAAACCAAGGATTTCGCCGATTTAGCCCATGGAGCGTGTGGGAGTATCAATTCGTGCGGTACTATTGGATGGAGACCGGCCAAGATTGGATGATGTTGGCGAGAGACAAGAAGGCATGGAGACGATCTGAGACTGATCTTGTCGAGTGGCGGCTCGGCGATACAGCGTCGACGGCCGGGGCCTCAGCTCCCCAAGACGGCCCAAGAAGGCCCCAGGACGGCCCAAGAGGGCCCCAGGACGGCCCAAAAGAGCCCCAGAAACGCCCAGACGGCGTTCTCCGAATTACGAAGTGCATCGAGCTGACCATCTTGGTTCCACGCTTGAGGCTCGAGGTGTAAATTCCTCAATGGAAAGAGACAGGCAATGGATGTAGATTCGAAGTTCGACGATCGAAGATTTCCTGAGTGCCTGGAGCCCTCCAGGCATTCAGGAAGCGACAGGACATCGATTTGTTCGGAGCTACTGCGACTTTTTCGGCGTGTCATGGGAACGCTCCTTAATTCTTCAAAGGATGGGCTCAACCACCGGAGGAGGCGGAAGAGAAGGAAAGGAGGAGGAAGGGATGGGTAGGGATAAACCTTGGAGGTGGCAGATGGAACACCAAACGAAACGTTGTTCCCTACCTCCCATGCGGAAGTTTGCTGAAGCAAGCGATGATTCATTGTTTTGCCGGGGAAGCGTCTGGAACAAGGCGCATGGCGCGAAGCGTCCATATATATATATATATATATATATATATATATATATATATATGACACATGTGTATACACACGTATCAACAGTTGCACATATATCTATATAGAGAGAGAGAAAGAGAAAACAACAGAGAAAGAGAGAGAGAGAGAGATCCTCCGTCGCCTCCTCCTGCCGCTGCCTCGTCTCCTCTCCACCACTTATGTGAATTTGCTCCCCCCCTCCTGCTCATGTTCCTCCCCCTTTCGGCCAGCACAGGCAGGATTCATATATAGTCATTTGAGCAGGACGAGGAGAAGAAGGGAGGAGGAGGAGGAGGAGGAGGAGGAGGAGGAGGAGGAGGAGGAGAGGGAAGGAAGAGGAGGAGGGCGCGTGCTAGGAACATAATCGGAGGAGGAGGAGGAGGAGGAGGAGGAGGAGGAGGGCACGTACCAGGAAGATAACTAGGCAGGAGGAAGAGGAGGAGTGAGGAGGAAGAAAAGGAGGAGGAGAGGAGAAGAGGAGAGATGGGAGGGAGGGGAGGAGGAGGAGGAGGAGGAGAAGGAGGAGGAGGAGGAGGAGGAGAAGGAAGCAGAAAGAGGCAGAAGGTGAGTGAGGTGGAAGGGAAGAGGGGATGATAAGGATGAGGTATGAGGCCAAAAGAAGGGGGGGAGGAGGAGGGAGGGAAGGAGGAGGAGGAGGAGGAGTGGAGGAGGAGGAGGAGGAGGAGAGGAGGAGGAGGAGGAAGAGGAGGAAGGCAATCAGCTCTTGGTGACGACGGCGACGCGGAACGCCGCCCCGAGGCTCGCGCCGTGCGCCCGCCAGCACGGCCGCGTGCCTCCGGGGCTGCGCAGGGCCCCGTCGGCGCCCTCGAGGAGGCCGGCGGCGTCGCCAGCACTGGCGAGGACACGGCGGCCGCAGCTGCTGTTGCTCCTCGTCCGCCTCCGCCTCGTCCTCCTACTCCTCCTCCCACCTCATTCCTCCTCCTTCCTCATCCTCCTCCTTACGCCTCCTACTCCTATCCTTCCTCCGCCGCCCCCTCCGCCTCCTCCTCCTCCCCCCTACTTCCCTCCTCCTTCCTCCTCCTCCCCTTTCCTTCCTCCTCCTCCTTCCCCCCTCCTCCTCCTCCTCCATTCCTCCCTCCTTCCTCCTCCTCCTCCTCCTCCTCCTTCTCCTCCTCCGCCTCCCCCTCCTCCTCCTCCTCCTCATAATCTGGAGTCGGTGACGTGCAGAGGTCTACCTGCCAACGTGCGCAGCACACGCATCCCGTGCGGCTGTGGTAGCACCCAGAGCCTCGGCTGCTCAGTCGCGGACCCCGGGGCCATCGTTGTCCATGCAGAAACGCCTCGAGAGCCACGGCCGCAGATGCGCCCGCGCCGGCTGACTCTGCGGACGCCCCCCAGGTCCCGTCGTTTTTCTTCCTCTTCTCCGTCGTTGCGTTCTTTGAATTGCACGGGCACCGCCTCGTAGGGTCATGTAATTCAGGTCAGCTTGAACTTCCCAATGATTAAGAGTAACTGCCCCAGAGACCCCGCCAGCTCCGCCGCCGTGCCGTCTTGTCCTTGTTTGTCTGGCCGTCGCCCAGCCACGGATTCGTTTCCCCCATGGCTCGCTTTTCTGGGGCCCGATTCACTGGAGCTCGTTTCACTGGGGGCCGAGGCGGGTCGGGCGGACGGGGCCGCGCGGGCGGGTCGGGCGGGCGGGGCACTTACGGGCGGGTCGGGCGGGCGGGCCCCAGTGAACAGGTCGAGCGGGTTGCGCGGCTGCGCAATACTAGCTGGCGGGCGGGCGGGAAGAGAGAGAAATTGAGGAGGAAGAGGACAGAGGGTGGGGGAGGGAGGAGAGAACGACACTGGAGGGAGGGAGGCGGAGGAGGAGGGAAACAAGAAACGCTGACCGGATGACAATGATGGTGGTGATGACGATGATGATGGTGGCGATTGTGATGTTGGTGACGAGGAGGAGGATGATGTTGGGCATGATGACGATTCTGATGGGGATGATGATGCTGATGCTGTTGATGATGCTGCTGATGATGATGATGATGAGGGCGATCATGATAATGACGATCATGATGCGGATGAGCATGATGATGCTGATGTTAATAATGATGGTGATGGTGACGGTGGTTTTGATGGTGATGTTGATGGTGATGGTAATGGTGATGGTGATGGTGATGATGACGGTGACGGGGACGACGACGATGATGATGGTGATGATGATGACGATGATGATGATCACCATGATGATGCGGCTGATGATGATGGTGGTGATGATGATGATGATGTGGATGATGATGGTAATGATGCGGATGATGGTGGAGATGGTGATGGTGATAATGACGGTGATCGTCATGGTGAAGGTGATGGTGATGGTGATGGGAATGATGATGGCGGTGGTGACGACGACGACGACAAAGACGACGACAGCGACGACGATGATGATGCTGATCATGATGAAGGTGATACTTATGATGATGGTGATGAAGGTGATGATATTGATGATGATGCTAATGATAATGATCATCACGGTTATGACGATGATGATGATGATCACCATGATGATGCTGCGGCTGATGATGATGGTGGTAATGATGATGATCATCATGATCATAGTGATGATGATCATGGCGATGATGGCGATGACGATGACGATGACGGTGATGATGCCGATGAGGAGGTGGGGGACGGGCGGGAGGCATGAAGGAGGGATGGCAGAGGGAGCGGGAGACGGAGGTGGAGGAAATGGACGAAGGGGGAGGAGGAGAAGGAGGAGGAGGAGGAGAAGGAGGAGGCGGAGGAGGAGGAGGAGGAGGAGGAGGAGGAGGAGGAGGAGGAGCAGGGAGGAGGAGGGAGGGAGGGAGGGAGGGAGGAGGAGGAGGAGGGAGGAGGAGGAGGAGGAGGAGGGAGGAGGGGAGGAGGAGGAGGAGAGGCAGGAGGGTGGAGGAGGAGGAGAGGAGGAGGAGGAGGGAGCAGGAGGAGGAGGAGGAGGAGGAGGAGGAGGAGGGAGCAGGAGGAGGAGGAGGAGGAGGAGGAGGAGGATGCGCAGTCCGCCCTGCAGGACGCCCCGCGGACCCTCTCACAGCCGTTTCCGGGCGCCATCGCGCTGCCTGGAGGCAGCCACGCGCACCTCCTCGTCCTTTTCGACCCTTCCCTCTCCCCTTCAGCTTCCTCGGCATCGCTCGGACGTGTGCATTTGTCCTTCGGCGAGGACCATCGAGGAGCATCCTTGATCAATTGGCGAGAAAAACCACGCACGAAACCGAAAAAAACACAGGGACTGGACGTCCGAGCGAAGGCCAGCTTCTGCTAGCTGTTCTGCCGTACTCAGCGACGGAGGATCTCAGTGTGGGCGAGCATTCGGCAACATTTCGTTGTATCGACGTCCTTCCACTTTTCGGGGGCGGAAAAGAGGGGGGGATGACTGGGGGTGGGGGGATATCATGGCTGCGACCATGATATTTCCCCAGATTTCATGGCGCCTCTTCTTGTTTCATGTTTCATTACGTCCCTGGCCCCCCCGCTGGGCCGCGCACATGCCGCGGTCATGATTTGCACCCCCCCCTCTTGGACACCCCCCTCTTGGCCGCTCCCGAACTTTCACTCCTCATCGCAGTCGTCTCCTCGCTTCCTCGTCCCAGACGGACCCAGCCTACCCTTCTCCGCCGGAGCGTCTGCTCGTATTCTCTTTTGCTGCTCACTCAGCAAGGCGACCGAGGAATTGGACCACGGGGGGGCAGATTGCGAGGAATCCCTGCTTTATCCTGCTGGCCTGCCGCCCCGCCAGCCACCATGCCGAGATATTGGGTCTGAGTCTTCGGGGATGTGTCTGAGTGTTCCTCGGAGGACTCTCGGGGCCCTCTTGGCCCGTGTTGGGGCGCTCCTGGTCCCGAAGGAGCAGTCATGCGGGAAGCGCCAGGAGACCGCGGGAGGCACGCTGGGAGCCCCAGGAGGTCTAGGAATTTGAGGTCTTCGGGGTGCAGTGGAAGTGGAAACCCGTGTCGAGAAACACCCTGCTTGCCTCCAGGGTGCCCTGGGGTTCTTGGGTTTCGATAGTTTTGTGGTGGAAAGCGTGACCCCCCCACGCCAAGAATCAACGGTTGTCCTGGATTCTCAGTGTTGGGTGTCAAGGTTCCTTGTGGTCGAGCCCTTACGGTACTCCAACCCGTCCCTTGCGGCACAGTGGCGGATCCATGAGGAAGATCTCGCGGGCACAGCGCCGTGTGCCAGCTGCAGTCTTCCAGCCACTCGGCGCTATACGCATATTTATATATATAGTTTGTATTGCTGCCCAGAGCTTTCCCATTCGACGTGTGGGTCGTTCACGAGCCCTTCGATGTGTAGGGCGCGTAGCGCCTATTGGCTCCCCCTATCGTCTCGGCAAAGACAACGTGGTCGTTTTGCAGCTTTGTGGAACAGGTTTCTCGCAGTCATTCAGGCCGACCTCGACGGGGGCTGCACGCCGATGACCGTGGTGCTCAGTTTTTTGATGGAGGCGACGGCGAGGATTATGACGAGGCGGACCGAGGATGGCGATGCCAAAGATGACGATGACGACAGGCACTACTACCATTGCGAACAAAAGGACCCCTAACGCTGATAACGCAATGAAGAAGTGGCTCCTCGTCGTCACATTAGGGATGATAGATCTGGGCGGTTTGGCCTGGCACATCTGCAGAAAAGACCCCCTATCCCTGATGTCCCTGGGCCGCCCCTGACTCAGGTCCCCTCCCAGAAAAAAGGTCGGGGGTTCTTTTGCGGTGAGTCCCTAGAGCACTGCTGAAGTCTGGACGCCCGAAATGGGTACGGAAAGAATGGGTACAATGCCCAACAGCAGTTCCTGTTCATTCTGAATCAGATTCGCTGTCCACGCCGCCGCGGCCTGTGTCCATTCGAGACAGAAGGCCGCCTGCCCAACAGCGGCCGCTGTTGGTTTGGGACAACATTTGTTGTTGGGCATTGTACCCATTCTTTCCGTACCCATTTCGGGCGTCCAAATGAAGGGAGTGGCACTGCATTGCCTTGGAGGGTCCAAAGGGGTCACCACAAAAGCACCCGTGCCGTGGCCCTCTCCGAGCCCCGAGAGCCTGCCGCCCAAGGGGCAGTCTCTCCAGGCCTCTGTGCCCAGGCAGGGCGGCGGCGCCCACCCACCACCACGCGGGCGCGCACCGCCAGCGCCGGCGCCGACGCCGGCGACGACGACGGTGGCCAGGAGGAGGCCAGCAGGCCGAGGCGTACGCAGAACGAATGACGCCACGAACCTAAACGTACGGCGCCGACGGCACCGGCGACGACGACGGTGGCCACGAGGAGGCCAGCAGGCCGAGGGGTTCGAAGGACGAAAGACGCCACGAGCCCAAACGTACGGCGCCGACGGCACCGGCGACGACGACGGTGTCCAGGAGGAGGCCAGCAGGCCGAGGAGTTCGAAGGACGAAAGCGCCACGGACCCAAACTTTTAGCGACGACGGCACCGGCGACGACGACGGCGGCCACGAGGAGGCCAGCAGGACGAGGAGTTCGAAGAACAAATGACGCCACGAACCTAAACGTACGGCGACGACGGCACCGGCGACGACGACGACGGCGGCCACGAGGAGGCCAGCAGGCCGAGGAGTTCGAAGAACTAAAGACGCCAGAAACACAAACTTTGGCGACGAAGACACCGGCGACGACGACGGTGGCCACGAGGAGGCCAGCAGGCCGAGGAGTTCGAAGAACTAAAGACGCCAGAAACACAAACTTTTGGCGACGAAGACACCAGCGACGACGACGGTGGCCCCGAGGAGGCCAGCAGGCCGAGGAGTTCGAAGAACTAAAGACTCCAGAAACACAAACTGTTGGCGTTCCGCGCCAAATGTTCATGTTGATGCCATTTTTTTCCCGCTAACGTGTGCGGCGCCAGCGATGGCGATGACGCTGGCGACGACGTCAGAGACCACGAGGAGGCCAGCAGTGCCGAGGAGCGCAAGCAAGGGATCTCAGAGCGGCGAGGCTCGGCGCGGCCTGGAGGCCCAGCCGGGCTGCAGCGTGCTGAGCGTGGGCGACGGCTCCGGCAGCCGCGAGTGGGCAGCCGAGGCTCATCGCAGCAAGGACGGAGCTTCGTCTTGTGTCGTTCGCTTCTACCTCCGTCCAAGCTGCGCGTGTCTGGGCCAGCGTTGAGCGCTGGGTGCCGATGGCCTGGAGCTGGTGGGAAGATGCAGGGCCTGCGTTTGCTTTGGACCCCCTCTCATTCCATGCCACGCTTTCGCCAAGCTGCGCGTGTCTGGGCCAGCGTTGAGCGCTGGGTGCCGATGGCACGGAGCTGGTGGGAAGATGCAGGGCCTGCTTTTGCTTTGGACCCCCTCTCATTCCATGCCACGCTTTCGCCAAGCTGCGCGTGTCTAGGCCAGCGTTGAGCGCTGGGTGCCGATGGCACGGAGCTGGTGGGAAGATGCAGGGCCTGCTTTTGCTTTGGACCCCCTCTCATTCCATGCCACGCTTTCGCCAAGCTGCGCGTGTCTAGGCCAGCGTTGAGCGCTGGGTGCCGATGGCACGGAGCTGGTGGGAAGATGCAGGGCCTGCTTTTGCTTTGGACCCCCTCTCATTCCATGCCACGCTTTCGCCTTCACCTCCGTTTCTGTATCGAGCTGCGCGCCTGTGCATGAATATGTGTGTGTGTTGCCTCGTCTGTCCTGCAAGCACCCTCTGTCACGTGTTGCCTGCAATGTCTTGCCTGTTCCCCCTTCGGTGTCTGATCTGTCCGTCCTGTCATACTTGCCTCCTTGTTTGTCCGAGCTTGGTAACCGCTAAAGGTCTTTAGTTTGCGTCCCCCCCTTTTCTCTCTGCGGTGAACAGGACTGGTCCTGAAACTTCCTCCTCCTTGTCGTTGTTGCGGGGCGGGTATGTTCCAGCCTCTTCAGCCTTATTCGCCAGAAAGAACTTCGAATGCCAGGAAAGTATCGAAACGGGCTGGTTTTCGCCTGTCGGACCCTGGGAGGCGATACTCGTTCGGCACTTTGCCAGCGTGTCGGCAGACACTGCTTCGATTTTTTGGGGTGCTCGAAATTGTTTCTGGGATGTGGTCCCTGTACGATGGGATCAGCACGAAGCTCGAGATCAGATTGGGCCTGGAGCCAACGATAGGGGCCTTTGAGGATCGGTCGCTGTGGTGGGGGAGCCTCCTGGAGATCTCTTGGAGGCATTCCAGGGATCGCTTGGGGGTGTTTGGGGGGACCGTGTGGGTCCCGCTTGCGGTTCTCCTGGGGCCCTCTTTGGGCCCTCGGGGCCATCTTGGAGGCCGTCGATCGACAAAGGGGTGGCCCTCACGGTGGCTCCCCCGTCCGAGGTCGACGAAGCACCCCCGTCCTCCCCGGGGCTCCGTCGGGGGTGCTCTTGCGCGTGCGAGTGCTCGCCGCAGCCTGGCATGCTGGACTTCAGCTTCTGCCTCGTAGACTTGGGACTGGGGCCACGGGCGGCCCGAGGTGGGAGGCTCGGCTCTCGTCTGGACCCGCGCAGGCAGTGCCAGAGCCCAGTGCCGGGGCGCTCCCTGCTTGCAGAAGGAAGCCTTCAGTCGGGCACGTCCCTCTACAGGAGGAGCATTCGAGAACAGTCCAAAAATAGTACGGTGACGATTCGTCGTACCATTTGTGTTGTTTGTGTGTATGTGTTTTTTGTTTTGACATGTTCATGTTTCTTTCAAATCCGCCTGTAGGAGGACATGCCCGACCGAAGGGAAGATGGTTTGGCAAGTGCATCGTCAGAACAGTGCGCAGGCCTGTGTATCTCCGATAGCCCTGAAGATAGACAAGCAGCGCAGACGAAGCAGCAAGACGAGGACAGATACGACAAAGAATAAGAAGCCACCTCCTCCTCCCTCCCTCCCTCCCTCCCTCCCTCCCTCCCTCCCTCCCTCCCTCCCTCCCTCCTTCCTCCTCCCTCCTCCCTCCTCCCTCCTCCCTCCTCCGCCTTCGCGCGAGCCTTCCTCGGCGCGAGGAGCTGGCCCTCTGCGCCTCCAAGGACGACTACTCCAAGGACCGCCGCCCTCCGCCTGGCCTCCCGCGCTGCCTCTCCACTGCTGCGCTGGCGCCGCCCCCCGACTGCCAGGACACAGCCGGCGGGGGTTCCACGCCTGTCGCTCGTAGCCCCCTCCGCAACAGGAAGGTTTTGGGCCCGAGCCAGTCGGTCTGGAGGCTTGGAGGGGGCGGAGATGGAGGGAGCGGAGAAGGAGAGGGGAGGGGGCGAAGATCAGGGGGATGAAGGGAGGGAGGAGGAGAAGGGGGGGGAAGGAGGGAGGGAGGGAGGCGGGGAGGGGGAGAAGATCAGGGGGAGAAGATCAGGGGGAGGAGGGGGAGAAGATCAGGGGGAGGAGGAGGAGGAGGAGGAGGAGGAGGAGGAGGAGGAGGACATCCAGGACACATGCGACTCCGGTGCTGGGGCCTGATCTCTGGTCGAAGTGCGCCTCTCTGGAGGCTCGGTGCCACTGATCAGGGGTGCTCCCAGCGCCCCCTCCCGTCGGGGGGTGGCAACTGCATGCCTGCACCGGTGTTGGCCAGGCCGACTCCGTTCCCAGTGCAGGTGCACGCACCCTCTTGACCAGAACCGGGGGGGCGTAGGCGTCCACACCGATCCTGGGCA